ACAGATTCACTCGATGGGCAACAATGAGACAACCCACAAAACAGGAATAGTTTTACAGGTTGAAGCCACTGACTTTTTTTACCTACTCATCTTTTCTGGCTGTTTTTCACTCGTTTTGCATTTGCTAGGGTCAGTGTCACTACTGGTAGCATGAGGCAATACCTGGACCCTACAGAGGCTGCACAGGCAGTCCAGCTCCTCCAGGACGGCACATCAATACGTGCCATTGCCAGAAGGTTTGCTGTGTCTCCCAGCACAGTCTCAAGAGCATGGAGGAGATTCCAGGAGACAGGCAGTTGCTCTAGGAGAGCTGGACAGGGCCGTAGAAAGTCCTTAACCCATCAGCAGAACTTGTATCTACTCCTCCCCAGCCTGAGACAGGCTGGGGAGGAAAGTCCTAGATGCTAGATCAGTGTCCATTTGGAAGCACATCAGTGCTTGTAGTTCCAGTGCGATTACGGTTGCATAGAAAAGAAAGTAGAACACAGGCTGCCCCTTTTCCCCTACAGTACATGAACTGTACTGGAAAACGCAGTAAAATGCATAAAAAACGCACCAAAAAAAACAGAAACAAATGTACTGGAACCAGTTCACACTGTGCATCCTTCTTTATCCAAAATGCACCCTGGGTTCATATGATTGTCAGGTGCGGTCACATATGCGCAAGTGTCCAGTGCGATTCGCACAGGTAACGCACCATTTTTCTGCACAGAACTTTACTGGAAGTATGAACCGCATAAAAAACGCACCAAAAACATAAAAAAACTGGACACACATGTGCCCTATTTAAAAACTTGTGCGGTGCGGCATATCGCATGTGCATTCGCACAGGAAACGTGCCACTGCGTTTTTAAAGTATGCCGTCCCTGAAAAAAATAAAAAAAAACACACTGACTGCACTGATTTAAAAGTCAGATCTGTGACAAAAATGGGACTTCACCTGACTTACTACACGAATAGCTAGGAAATTCTTTTTAGAAACACACCCAAAAAAAACTTCAGCGAAAAGATGGTAAAGCTGAGAGTGACCAGCATTGTCCTCCTCCTATGCAGGGGGATCACAAGAGCGGCTGAACAGACATGTCCCCCCCTTGGTACGTTCACACGTGTGTCTTGCAGAACTTGTGATATTTTGGGAGGTTTATAGCCCCGTCCACACCTACAATTAAATTCTGAACTCCGAGTGAAGAGCCCATGTGACTGCGCTTGTGAATTCACGCCAAAGTACAGCCATCCCATCAATTACAGAACGATGTCATTGTTTACCACGCACACGTTTTCATCGAATCGCAGCTCATGTTGTTACTAAGAATAGATGATATAACAAGATTACAGATCCTCATATCTAGATCCCCAGTCAGGGTCTATACTGGGGTCTGTGTCCCCTACGGGAGATCCCTATATCTAGATCCCCAGTCAGGGTGTACTGGGGTCTGTGTCCCCTCCGGGAGATCCCTATATCTAGATCCCCAGTCAGGGTGTATACTGGGGTCTGTGTCCCCTCCGGGAGATCCCTATATCTAGATCCCCAGTCAGGGAGTATACTGGGGTCTGTGTCCCCTCCGGGAGATCCTCTCATATCTAGATCCCCAGTCAGGGAGTATACTGGGGTCTGTGTCCCCTCCGGAGATCCCTATATCTAGATCCCCAGTCAGGGTGTACACTGGGGTCTGTGTCCCCTCCGGGAGATCCCTATATCTAGATCCCCAGTCAGGGTCTATACTGGGGGTCTGTGTCCCCTCCAGAAGCAGTCTCACCCTCTCTGTTTTCCATTGTCGACGTGGAGCTGGTGAAGGAAAATGACAAATGTTACTGTTGTCACCACAACAGGAAATGAGAAGGAATCTTCTTATGGGGACACCTGTGCTGGTGACAACCTTCTAAGAACTTTCTTCTTATTTCCTCTGTGACCGAATGGGACACGGATAGCAAAAATAAAAAGACTGACTCAACCCCTCCCTACTCCACCCAAAACTAAAGAAAATACTAATCAGCTTCTTTTGGGCCGGTTCACACTACATGTGCTTCAGTTGCGTTTTTTCTGCATCCAAAACGCACAGAAAGTTGGTTATATGGTTGCCAATGTCATAGTTCACATCAGTGTGAAAAAAACGCATCACAAACGCACCGGAACACACTGGAATGCGCCAAAAAAGCACTGGAATGCATATGTCCCTATTTAAATTGAAGAAAAAGAGAGCGGGAAAAACTAACTGGATTACATAAAAAACGCACCAGAATGTGTCGAAAACGCACCGAAACACGGCAAAAAAACACGTAAAAAACGTGCAAAGCAAAAAAACCCATCCAGAACGCATCTGGACTGCATTTCTGTAGTGTGAACCGGTCCTAAGGCTAGGTTCACACCAATGCAGGTTGCGTTTGAACTGTTTCTGCATTGTGTTTTTTTGTTGCGTTTTGCCCCTGCATTTTTTTACGTGTTTTTGATGCATTTTGCGGTTTTGGGGGTTTTTTTTTTCTTTTTTATAATTTTTAAAATTTTTCTTGTTGCTAGGCAGATTTAAAATGCGAAAGGTTGTTTAGAAAAGTGCCACACCCTTAATTAATATAGCATTTAAAATGCGTCAAAAACGCAGCAAAAACACAGCAAAAACGCACTACATGCTTTTCTGCAGCGATTCCATTGAAGTCTATAGAACCAAAAATGCAATGTTTTGCGTTCAAAAAAAATCTCTGATCCTTTCCAAAAAACGCACACCGGGTGAAAACGCTGAGATGTGAACCTGTCTCATAGGAAATCATGTCAAAAGGACTGTACTGCGTTTCTGCAAAATGCAAAACGCTGCGGAAAATGCTTAGGTGTGAACCTGGGGTAAGGGTCCGTTCACACTATAGAAAAGCAGTCCAGATGCATCCCAGATGCGTTTCCGCATGCACGTTTTTGATGCGTTCTGGTGCATTTTTTTATGCATTTTGGTGCGTTCCTGTGCGTTTATGATGCTTTATGTTTTCCAATGTGGTTTTATATATGCGTTTCTGGCTCATTCCAGTGCGGTTTTATGCATTGTGACTCATTTCGGTGCATTTTCTATGGGATTTTTTTACATGTTGCAATGCGTTTTTTATGCATTCCAGTTCATTTTTTGCCCTTTCTTCAGTTTAAGAACAAGTGCATTTTTTGTGCGTTCCCGATGCGTTTGTGATGCGTTTTTTTTAAACCGCATTCCAGTACAGTTCTATGCAGAAAAGATGCAGCCTCTTCTACTTTCTTTTCTGCAGCTGGAACACACTGGAACTGCAAGCACTGATGTGAACTATGACACTGACAACCATATAACCTACTTTCTGTGCGTTTTGGATGCAGAAAAAAGCAACTGAAACGCATTTAGTGTGAACTGGCCCTAAATCTGACCTCCACCCTCTCTCTGGACTGAAATAGTTTGCTCTGATTTCACTGCACACTGTGAGCTTCTCATAAGGTGCCTCAGAAGCTGCAGCAAGTCCTGGCTGAAGGACGTCCAGCATCATCTAGAACTTTCCTCCCCACCCTGACAGTCCCTGGCCCCGCCCCTTTCATTCATTGGATTTCTGTTCTTTCAATCCTATAGGCTCAGAATTGCATGTGAGCATTATCATGCAATACAGAAATGCCACGCCCTCCAGACTGACACCCACCAATCAGGGCATTTTTATATTTGCATAACTCCTCCCAAAAAGCCAGCCCACTGCTTATATCAGGACTGGAGGTCATTGAGAGGAGTAGCGAGGCAGATTGCTGTGCTGTTTTCTGGAAGCTATGTACAGAACCCTCCCATCCCCTCCCAACAGCCATGATCTGCCTGCATTGCATAGAGAAGCATAGAGACCCAGTGATGATGTCACTGGGTTAAAAAAAGTTATGTAATGACAAGAGACATATCATTAGCATATTACATGGATAGAGGGAAGGGAAGGCAAAATATAACATTAGACTTCATCTTTAAGGAATATGTTTGACCATCCCCAGCAGGAATAACAATACAGGGTCAGGGGCGGACTGAAAATTTATGGGGCCCCCCAGGCAATAGGGGATCATGGGGCCCCTGTGTCCTTGCTCACACTCAAACCACACCAAAAAAAAGCCTATGAAAGGTACCAGGGGGCATCTCATGGGGCCCCTTACTGACCCGGGCCCTTGGGCAGTGCCCGAGTTTCCAAATGGTAATTCGGCCCCTGTACAGGGTGACAGCACAAGGGAGCAATTGAAAATCAGGGAAACAGTGATGTCACCGAGTCTAAAATAAGGTGTGTAATGACAAGAGAAAGGTTGTATTTACAAAAAAATGTCCTTAGCATGTCAATAAGATGCGCCATTGCATAGAGAAGAATTGCATAGAGAAGCACAGAGACCCAGTGATGGTGTGACTGAGTCTAAAATAAGGTGTGTAATGATAACAGAAAAGTTGTATTTAAAAAAAAAATGGTCGTCATTAGCATGTTAATGAGGGGCATCATTGCATAGAGAAGACTTGCATAGAGAAGACTTGCATAGAGAAGCACAGAGACCCAGTGATGGTGTCACTGGATATAAATAAAAGGTGTAAAGAAAATGAATGTGTTGATGAGAGTGGAGGAACCAGAATCGGCAAAATAATATTAGATTCCATTATATCTTTAACCCCTTCACGCCAACGAAGAGGAGTTCCTGCGCCGGGAGGTGGGCGGAATTTGGTGGGGCTTAGTGTCATGTGGCCCGCTGTGACGTCACGGCTGGTCACGTGATCGGGAAAGGTCCCGATCGAAAGAGCGGACCGGGACCTTTCCGTGAGTACCGGACATGTGTGCTGGGAGCGCTCTCAGCACATATGTTTTTTGTTACATGAACACAAATGTGCGGGCCGCTCAGCGTCTAGGCTCAGATGCCGGGAGGTCGCACATTTGCATGCGGCCGGCGTGTGAAGGGGTTAAACTGCAACTGGAGCCCTTAAAATTGCAACTGTCATTTGTTCCTGATTGGTTACTATGAGAAATGACAGTCACATGTATATATATATCAGGGGCGGACTGACAACTCATGGGGCCCCCGGGCAATAGGAGATCATGGGGCCCCTGTGTCCTTGCTCAAACTCAAAAAATCCTATGAAAAAGGTACCAGGGGCATCTCATGGGGCCCCCTACTGACCCCGGGCCCTCAAGTTTCCAAATGGTCAGTCCCGCCCCTAATATATATATATACAGGTTTATAGGATCATTGATGCATTGATTGGTTCATGAGTGTTGCAATCCACCCCTCCTCTGTAGAAGGGGGGGGGGGGGCAATTTGTACTGATAAATAACCAGATAAAACTTTCCACTGAGCAGAGATCAGAGCCCTGCCCACCGCTGTCACAATGCCCCGCCCATCCAGCAGCCAGAGCCATAGACAGGCTGAGCGAGTAATGGAAAAAGCTGAACTCTGGGAATAGTAAAGGCTACATTCACAGGCTGAGCAGTGGGCGGAGCGATCCAGTGCAGTGCAGTCAGTGCAGTGGCAGAGCTACTTGCTGTATGCACACTGCCAACGCCGCCGCTGTTTGCACGTCACCACTGAACGGCGCTCTACTTAGACATCATGCTGCCTAATGCCGGCCATAGACGGTTTGAAAATCGTCCGATTTTCTCACTGTTAGTGGAGTAATTGGTCGGAACGCCACGTTTTTTTTCAGGTTTTTTGCACATTTTTTTTATCAGTCATGTTGGAAAATTTGTGGGCAATTTTGACGATCGGCCGATTATCCCGGCAATGATGGGCCAATCGGCCGATCGTTTTACCGATAAAAAATCCGCGCATGAGCCGTGACCTGCAAGGGACAGAAATTATGGGATGAACTTTATGATTTTGTTGGCCGACTTTTTTTTTTTTACTGTTGGTGGGTAACGTTGGCCGACCGAACGACCGATTTTTCATGGTTTTTTTTTTTTTTTTTTCGAAAAAAATCAGCCAATTTTTTTACCCGTCTATGGCCTGCATTAAGCTAACCATACCGGCTCACACCTGTGCAACTTCAGGTGCAATATGCGATTTACAAATCATACCTGAAGTCACATCTAATGTATCCCTGGCACTGTCTTAATCAGTGCGATTAGAAGTCGCACAATTTCAAAAAAAAGCCAGTTCCTGTGTTACTTTTTTCCCCGATTTCATTGGGACTTGCACAGAGTTCTGTTAAATGAAGTCACAAGGCACAGTGAAATTGTAGGTACAAATCGTACTGATCTGCGGCTTTGAATTTCGCACTTCACTTAAATTTTAAAGTCGCATTCAGTGTGAACCAGGGCTTAGGGCCCTTTTCAAATGCATATCATATTCTTAGTATGTTTTCTGGATTCCTGTCTCGCACCATGCAACTGTGAAACTTAGAAAATGCATAAAAACGCATGTGATTTTGATCGTTTTCCATTCATTTCAAAGGGGATATGCGCTTTTGATGCAGTTTTTTAACATGCTAAAAAAAAAAAGATGCAGCATGCAGGACTTTTAGGTTGCTTTCACACTTTTCCAATGAAAAAAATATGATATTTATTTATAGCGCTCGGGCGGACTGACCATTTGGAAACTCAGGCACTGCCCAAGAGCCCGGGGTCAGTAGGGGGCCCCATGAGATGCCCTGGTACCTTTTTCATAGGCTTTTTTGAGTTTGGGCAAGGACACAGGGGCCCCATGATCCCCTATTGCCCGGGGGCCCCATGAGTTGTCAGTCCGCCCCTGATAGCGCTGTCAATTTACTCAGCGCTTTACATATATATTGTATATTCACATCAGTCCCTAAAACTCAAGGGGTGTACAATCTAAGGTCCCCAACTCACATTCATACATACACATACTAGGGCCAATTTAGACAGGAGCCAGTTAACAATCCCAGCATGTCTTTGGAGTGTGGGAGGAAACCGGAGTACCCGGAGGAAAACCCACGCAGGCACAGGGAGAACATGCAAACTCCAGGCAGGTGTTGCCGTGGCTGGGATTTGAACCAAACAACCTTAGTACTGCTAGGTGGAAGTGCTAACCATTTAACCACTGTGCTTCCACATATGAGGGGGGGTTTTTTAATGCGTTTCCCATGTGTTTTTCTGCATGCCTGACTCCCAGCATGCACCTGTGAAACTCAAAAAAAAATACCAAAAGTGCAACGCAGGCACATTATTGATGCATTTTTACGCGTTTTCTATTCATTTCAATCTGGAACTGCGTTTTTGTTGTGGTTTTGAAAACCTCCCCAAAGATGCAGCAGACAGAACTTTTCAAAGTGCACGACCACTTAGCACAGTAATGTGAGGAGTCCCATAGGATTGCGTCTTTGCTGCGTTTTCAGCATAGTAAAAACGCAGCAAAAAAGTATCAGTATGAAAGCAGCCTTAAAAACGCACCGCATCTGCAGCACAATGGTGTGAAGCGTTCCATAGGATTTAAAGGGGTACATTTTTCATGCATTTTTCTTCCACTTTTTAAACACCAAAAATGCATCAAAACCTGATCCATGGGAAAGGGCCCTTTTACTGCATTGTTATGTCATGCGTTTAGGCAACCCATTAAAATCAATGGGCTTCAGCCACATCAAAACATCGCTAAAAAAATTGAACATGTCACAAAGGTTTTGCTGCAACACCCAACATTGCATTATGGAGCAGAGGCGTATTGATAACTCATGGGGCCCTCAGGCAATAGGGGATAATGGGGCCCCTGTGTCCCTCACCCACATTCAAACACCACACCCAAAAAAGCCAATGAAAGGTACCAGGGGCATCTCATGGGGGCCCCCTACTGACCTCTGGCCCTCGGGCAGTGTCCGAGTTCCCAAATGGTCAGTCCGCCCCTGTTATGGAGCATTGCCATGCGTTGCAGCACATTGCAACGTATCTGCGTATGCACTGGGGAACTATTAAAAATGTATGGCACTGCAACGCATGTCACGTGTTGCTGCATGTGCACTAACACGCACATTTATTTAGGCAGACCATTAAAATCAATGAACTTGCGTTACACAAAAAACATTCCAAAATCGCACATGTTGCAAAATATTTGCCGCAACACGCTTTGGTGAGTTGCCATGCGTTGCAGTTCATTGGGGTGCTATGCAGAATGAATAGCACTGCAACGCATGTTGTAAAATGAATCGGCTTCCAACGCAACAAAACAATCTGAAAAATCGGACGCACTGTAAATTTGTGCTGCGATGCACTTTGATGCATCACCGTGCAATGCATGTGCGTTGCTTTAGCTCATTGGGGTGTGCTATTCAAAAATGAATGTCACTGCTCACATGACGTACAATGAATAGGTTTCCAATGCAACAATATGTCTCAAAGTTTGAATGCACCACAAAGTTTTTACTGCAACGCACTTTGAGATGCTCGCCATGCAATGCATGTGCGTTGCTTTAGTTCATTTGGGTGCTGTTGAAAGTGAATGGGACTGTAACATGCATTGCTGCACGTGGAGTAAAACGCACGTTGCATTTAGCCAGCACCAGAGCGGTGGACTGACAACTCATGGGGCCCCCAGGCAATAGGGGATCATGGGGCCCCTGTGTCCTTGTCCACACTCAAAGCACACCCAAAAAGCCTATAAAAAAAACAGGTACCAGGGGCATTTCATGGGGCCCCTACTGACCCCGGGCCCTCGGGCAGTGCCCGAGTGGTCAAATGGTCAGTCCGCCCCTGGGTAGCACATTAAAGTAAGGCTTCCAAAGCAACAATACGACCCAAAAATCAAGAGCTTGCAAACTTTTTGCCGCAACGCACTTTGATGCCTTGTCATGCAATGCATGTGCGTTGCTTTAGTTCATTTGGGTGTTGTTCAAAATCATTGTAACATGCATTGCTGCACGTGGAGTAAAACGCACATTCCATTTAGGCAGCCTGTTAAAATAAATAGCCTTCCAAATGCAACAAAGCGTCACAAAAATCAGACGTGCCGCAAAACTTTTTGCAGCAACGCACTTCGGTGCCACAACCATGCAATGCCTGTGCGTTGCCTTAGTGCATTGGGGTGCCATTCATAATGAATGTCACTACTTATGTGATGTAAAATGAATTGGATTACAACGCAACAATACGTCCCGAAAAGTGAACGTGACACAAACTTTTTACTGCAACGCATTTTGGTGCCTCGTGTTGCAATACATGTGCATTGTTTTAGTTTATTTGGGTGCTATGCAAAATAAATGTAATGTGCGTTGCTGCGCATGGAATAAAACCTGTGTTGTGCTTAGGCAGCTCATTACATTTAATAGACTTCAAATGCAACAATACGCACCAAAATTCAGATGCGCAAAAAAGTTTTTGCCACAACACATGTTGGTTCCCTGCCATGCAATGCACGTGCATTACGTTTATTTAAGTGCTATTCTACATGAATGGCACTGCAGCACATGCAACATGTGTTGCTGCACATGCAGTAAAGTGCGCACTACATTTAGGTAACCCATTAAAATAAAAACGGTTCCAACGTAACAAAGCATCCCATAAATCAGACGTGCTGCAAACATTCTTTTGTCCTAATGCACTTTGTTGCTTCTCCGTGCAATGCATGAGCGTTGCCTTAGTTCATTGAGGTGCTACTCAAAATGAATGGTTCTGAAGCGCATTTAATGTGCGTTGCTGCACATGGAGTAATACGCATTCCTGAACATGGAATACAACGCATTGCTGCACATGGAGTACAACGCATTGCTGCACATAGAGTACAACGCATTGCTGCACATGGAGTACAACGCATTGCTGCACATGGAGTAATATGCATTGCTGAACATGGAGTAATATGCATTGCTGAACATGGAGTAATATGCATTGTTGAACATGGAATAACACGCATTCCTGCACATGGAGTAACACGCATTTCTGAACATGGAGTAGAATGCATTGCTGATCACAGAGTAGCACGAATTGCTGAACATGGAGTAACACACATTGCTGCACATGGAGTAATACGCATTGCTGCACATGGAGTAACACGCATTGCTGCACATGGAGTAATATGCATTCCTGCACATGGAGTAACACGCATTGCTGCACATGCAATAACACGTATTGCTGCACATGGAATAACACGCATTGTTGCACATGGAGTAACACGCATTGCTGCACATGGAGTAACACGCATTGCTGCACATGGAGTAACACGCATTGCTGCACATGGAGTAACACGCATTGCTGCACATGGAGTAACACGCATTGCTGCACATGGAATAACACGCATTGCTGCACATTGAGTAACACGCATTGCTGCACATGGAGTAACACGCATTGCTGCACATGGAGTAAAACGCATTGCTGCACATGGAATTACACGCATTGTTGCACATGGAGTAATGCGTGTTGCATTTAAACAGCCCATTAAAATGAATATGCTTTCAACGCAACAAGCCAAAAATCAGAGACGCTGCAAACATTTCTTTCCACAGCGTACTCTGACGCCTCGCCATGCAGTGCACATGCGTTGCGTTAGTTCATTGGGGTGCAACTCCAAATAAATGGCACAACAGCACATGTAACACACGTTGCTGCACATGCAGCAAAACGCACACTACATTTAGGCAGCACAATAAAACAAATAGGCTTCCAACACAACAAAGCATCCAAAAATTGCACACGCCGCAAACTTTTTTGCTGCAACACACTTTTTGTTGCCTCACCATCTTAATACATGTGCCGTGCCTTCGTTAATTGGGGTGCGTCACAAAATGAATGTAACCCATCAATGCATGGAACGTGCCATGTGTGGCATTTGCGCACACGTTCCCAAAGCGCATCGGTGTAAATGGGCCCCTAATATTGCCAGTGTTGGCGATGCAATGGTGAAATCCTGACTTGCAGCAAAGTAGCGTCTCCAGAACAATAAAAGGCGCAGGCGTTGTAAAGCGTTCGGACGCAGGATGGACGCACACGGATGGATGCAGGATGGACGCACACGGATGGATGGCTCTGGCTCACCTGTTCAGGCTTGCTCCCCGTGCTCTGACTGATCCCCCCGCCGCAGGCTCGTCCTCTAAATACAGATGGTGGTTGGTTTCTCCCAGCACAGCTGTGACGGGATTCAGAAGCTTCTGGACGTCCCTGTGTGTCTCTCCACCCTCCGCTCCCCCCTTACATCACCGTCCAGCAGAGGGAGGGCAAGGAGAGGGACCAGCGCACAGGAGAAGCTTCTGGATTTTTATTTTTGGCTGGTTGTTATCTAAGTCTAACGCTTTCGTATTTCGCCGTGCGTTTTCAGGCGCAGCTGGCTGATGTTCACGCGACACGGCATCGCTGAAAGCAAGCAGACCCAAGGGAGCGTTCTGAAATAGTTAAAGCAGAACTCCAGACAAAACTTTTTTCTTGGGCTTAGAGCTAGGACAAGAAAAACGCAAAATGCGTCCCGGACCTGGCAGATTTGATTTTGAAAAGTTTGAACTTATAATCTATGATGTTTCACATGCGCTGAATTAAGGGTCAGTTCACACTATAGAAACACAGTCCAGATGCATTCCGGATGCGTTTTTTGCATATGCGTTTTTGATGCTTTTTGGCGCATTCTGGTGTGTTTTTTTACATGTTTCAGTGCGTTTTTTATGCATTCCAGTTCATTTTTTCCCCTCTCTTTTTTTAAATTTAACATTTGACATTTGCATATAAGTGCGTTTTGGTACGTTTTGTTGCGTTCCAGTACATTTTTCGATGCGTTTTACACTTCTGTGCAGAAAAAATGCAGCCTGTTCCGGTGCATTTTTGACACATTCCAGTGCATTTTTATGCATTCCAGTTCATTTTTCTCCTCTCTTTTTTTTTCAATTAGAATAGGTACATGTACATTCCAGTGCATTTTTGGTGCGTTCCGGTGCATTTTTGATGCATTTTACTGCGTTCCAGTACAGTTCTGTGCAGAAAAAAAATGCAGCCTGTTCTACATTTTTTGCAACCAGAACGTACTGGAACTGCAAGCACTGATGTGAACTATGATGCTGACAACCATATAACCTACTTTCTGTGCGTTTTGGATGCAGAAAAAAAACAACTGAAACGCATGTAGTGTGAACTGGCCCCAAATGCATAAAATTGCTCTAAAAGCCGTACATAATTATAGAGGCAATTGTGCGCATTTAAAGTGTTACTGCACCACGGACCCTGCATCCACTGTATCTGGCCTCCCCAGGGGCGGACTGACCATTTGGAAACTCGGGCACTGCCCGAGGGCCCGGGGTCAGTAGGGGGCCCCATGAGATGCCCCTGGTACCTTTTTCATAGGCTTTTTTGAGTTTGGGCAAGGACACAGGGGCCCCATGATCCCCTATTGCCCGGGGCCCCATGAGTTGTCAGTCCACCCCTGGGCCTCCCACAGTACACACTATATGGGAATGCAATTATTTTAGTAAATATAAACTGCTAAATACCTTTTCTCATCAGCAGTTAGAACAGTCTTGTGACTTCTATCAGTGTTCCGCAGAGCACATGGTAAAGCTTGTAGGAGTATTCTTTCTGCTCTAGGAGGATGCAGAACCCCTGACCTCTGTCTGAATAGTGCTGATTGGCCCTGTGCTGATCACATGCATGCTCCCAGAAAGTAGGTTATATGGTTGACAGCTTCATAGTTCACATCAATGCTTGCAGTTCCAGTGCATTCCAGTTGCAGAAAAAAAAAGTAGAGCAGGCTGCATTTTTCCTGCACAGAACTGTACTGAAACGCAGTAAAGCACATCAAAAAATGCACTGGAATGCACATGCACCTATTTAAATTGAAGAAAAAGAGAGGAGAAAAAATGAACTAGAATGCATAAAAAATGCGCCGGAATGCGCCAAAAACAACTCTAAAACACGCATGCAAAAACACATCCAGAACGCATCTGGACTGAACTGAAACGCAGTCCAGATGCATTCTGGATGCGTTTTTGCATGCACGTTTTTGGCACATTCCGGTGCGTTTTTTACACGTTCCAGTGCATCTTTATGCATTCCAGTTCATTTTCCCTCTCTTTTTCTTCAATTAGAATAGGTACATGTGCATTCCAGTGCATTTTTGGTGCATTCCGGTGCGTTTTTGATGCGTTTTACCATGTTCCAGTACAGTTCTGTGCAAAAAAAAAATCCAGCCTGCTCTACTTTTTTTTTTGCAACCAGAACGCACTGGAACTGCAAGCACTGATCTGAACTATGACACTTACAACCATATAACCTACTTTCTGTGCATTTTGGATGCAGAAAAAATGCAACTGAAACGCATGCAGTGTGAGCTGGCCCTTTCCGTAACATGTAGGATGGAAGCATGGTGACGTCATCCCGGTACGGACGGCAACCGCCATCTTGGTACTCCCAAACCTCATACATCCTTACTGTTCAGATACAGTGCTTGCTTGTTGGGTCTGCAGACCTGTTTTCTAATTGTGAGTAGTTTTTTTTTCTTGTGAATTCAATAAAGTTAAACCTATTGCAGTGTGGAAGTTTTTCTCGGATCCCTTTCTATGAGCATTTTGGAGGAGGAGGATTTAAAGCTATATACGCGCCCACCCACCCCCATCCCCTCCATCGCGACCAACAACGCCACCATCAGTCCCACCCCACAAGCCAAAGTCCTAGGTGTCACTCTAAACTCAAATCTGTCCTTCCAGCCCCATGTCTGATCGTTGGCAAACTCATGCAGGCTCCACCTCCGCAACATCTCCAAAATACGTACGTTCCTAACCCCAGACACTACTAAACTACTCTTTTACTCCCTCATTATCTCACGCCTGGACTACTGCAACTCCCTCCTCACTGGCTTACCTCATCACAGGCTATCCCCACTTCAGTCTATCCTGAACTCAGCGGCCAGATTCAT